TGTCGATGTGCGAGTGTGTGGTGTGGATGTCGATGTGCGAGTGTGTGGTGTGGATGTCGATGTGCGAGTGTGTGGTGTGGATGTCGATGTGCGAGTGTGGCTATGCAGAGAAGACACATCCATACCCACACACCCACACCCACACCCACACCAACACCCACCCACACCCACACCCATAAACTGGTCTGACCGAAGAAAGATATACAGAGATGTTCAATAAATATGAATCACTTATGATAAATTTTAATGATTGAAATGAACACATAAAATCTGAAGAACAGAAATATTCTAAAGTTAATAATTGTATTTCGAAAAGCTTTCATCTATGTAAATTTTTAAATAAAAAAGACAAACAGTTACGAAGGACATGAATTTTATTACAATATTTTGGCGGAAGAGTTTGTTGATTACGTATAAAATACTGCAAAGTCTACACCTACAAATGAAGAATCGTCATCGACACCACTGCCTAAACATTAATTATGGTTTTCTTCATGATCGTGAATTTATGCAAACGGTACGTTTTTTTTCCAACGTACAAGGTTTGTTATGATATTTACCGATGACATTATTAACAATGTAAACCATGTGATCGGTATTTTTTTTCTTATCAATACTTCGTTTCAAAGGCCAAAATATTGAAAAACAAGTTCTCGAAAAAGGCTTTCAGCATTTCATTTTTATATTTTTTCACTTATAATGTTTGATTCGAAGGTTAAATGACGTAGATGTCTTGCCGCTTTTTCTAACATACTCAAAAAGGTTTTTTCTTCCGTTCTGTGTCTCATTCCTGTTTGCGCAGATATCAACTTGGAAATTTCCAAGCATGCAAGCTGACTTCTCTTTTGTTCTTTGGCTGCTCATAAGTTATGTACAGCGAAAGAAAATGTGTTTTGTTCAGTAAAAATAGTAAATGAATGCTTTCTGGAAAATATTTTTCTTGTATTTAATTCGTTTATTTTCAGTAAAAGATATTGACAACACCAATTATTTTTTTAACTGGTTTTAAATCTCGAACTTATTCAATATGTCGTATTGGTTTTCGCCAAACTCACATCATTTTGAAATTATTGAAAGAGTATTCACTCGGATATCAGATCGTAGACAAAAGAAAACTAATGGTTATAATGGCCATCGTCGATATAACAAAAAATCTACTTGATTTTCTGTGGCTCAAATATTCAGTTGACTCACTTTGTATGTTTTCTTATTTTTATTCACAACGTTATACATCATGATCATAATCGAGCGACTATCGACGAAAACTTATCTACTTTCTTGGAAAGCTACTGAATATCCAAACACATTCACCGTATATCGTAGGAATTCATAAAAAGAATTAAATACTCTATGAGGACAAATTCTATCAAACTGAACTTTTCACAACAGATACAACACCTAGAATAAGGAATCATATGTAGAACGAGAACTAATTCAGTCACGTTAACACCCCATATGAATTCTTTCGATCAGATTCTGGCTTTTATCATAACTACTTGAAAGTCCCCGCATGAGGAAAAACTGACCAGTCTTGCTTTCAATCTTCCTGTCTCAATTTATATGATTTTCCAACAGATGTTCTTTTATGAGCTATAAATCCTTACTCATTTTTCTCATAAAAGACGGAAGTCAATTTTCGAGAAAAAGTGTAGCATCATCTCTGAAATATATTGTGACCTACCTGTAAGAAAATTTTTCGTCGGATCATGTGACCCGGAAAATAATAATATATACTCGTATAGAAAATCAGAATTACTTTGAAAAAAATTGCTGAAACTGTTCTAAAGAGTTTTTTTCCGGCCACATGGATTGTTATTCCAGATGCCTTGTACATTTGAACAAATTCAGAGTGAGCCATTGTCCCATCTGCAACAGCCAAGAATGGTCAAGAATGAGCAGATTCTCTGAAATATCTCACATAGATGCCAATACTGTGACACCAACAATGAGCTGTCAATATTTTGGTTTTCTTATAGCTATATATTTCTACAGATGAAAAGTTGCCTGACATAATTATGATTTGACGAGGGCGACATTCATTCGTGGGAATAACCGATTCTATCTTGTAGTTGTAGATGCACATAATTGTTTTGAGTACTTTCATCTTTTAGTGTGGTCCTTTTTAAACATGTTTCCTTTTAGGAAATTCAAAATAAATCGATGAATACACGCTATTGCCATGTAGCAGCTGAACGAAATTTAAAATTTAAATGATGACAGTCAGTCACATGGTAAGACTTTAACAATTGAATATTACTGTTGCTAAACTGTAGTTTTAATTATTTCTGCATAGTAAGAATCTTATATTAATGTTATTATTAAATGAAATTCGTGTTCCTTCACACACTGATCCCGTGGAATTCTAACAGAAGCTGTATGAATTAAATTAGGAAACATATAACCAAAGCTGTAAAATGGTACCTTGTAGTTTTTAACGAAAAGAAAAATACTTGGCAATGTTGCTGTGGTGGATACTATACAAATTTATAATGAAATGTCGATATTATCGAACGTTCATTGAACAATGCCGATCACTTGGTGAGAAATCGAGTTATCTGTTTTTATTGTAATGGTAACGTTGATAACAAGCTCAATTCATCTTCTAATAGAAAAGTGGCATATTATTACAAATTTATTGAGATATGTTAGTTTACCACGGAATTAAATGTCACTGTGAAATCAGTCAATTTTTATCAAGACAATGTTCATTGTACAATAGGAAAACATGTAAGTTCTATTTCGATTGATTTTCATGTTGATTGTTAGCAGCAAAATCGAAGTTGATAAATCTTCTGTGCATAAAGAATAGTTTAATGTATTTGAAGAGAATGAAAATTTTCGTTTAATCTATATCAAAGCTTGATTCTAGGCATTCAAAGTCATTTCGTGTCCGTTATGTCCTACTTTTTATTAAAGGCAAGAATAGGTTCGTTCTAGTAGAACATAAACTTTGTGTATTTCTTAAAATATTAAGAATTAATAACAACGTAATGTCACATACATATACATATATGTGTATAACATCAAAAGGAGACGACGAGAAAAGATGAAGAGCTGCGAGCGGTGCGCAAATACAAATACAGATTGTACGCCATTTCCAGTACATGGGGATGCATATCGTTGCATGGCGATACACGAGTTCTAGAATTCATGAATGACCATGTAACGGCTTGTATCACCATGTATCGGGTCATATATTGAATTTTGTTGGAAATGGTGATACAATTTGTATTCGTATTTGCGCATTTCTGGAATTTTTACATTAAGTAGGTCCCACGTGTGGGCGTGGGTCTAAATCGTCTATTCATCCACATCCACACTTAACTTTTTTCTGCATTTTTATATGATTGCTAAGTTATTTTTCATTATAAACTTCTTCATCATTTCTTCTTTCGACCAATTTAGTTCTAATATTATAAGCCCTTCCTAGTAACCGTCCGGTTTCAATCACTTAATCTGTGTTCACCCACAGCAACCGCTAGACAAAGGTAATTCACCGTCTTGATTTTAATGGTGATATTGGTTCTTAGTTTCGAATTGATCTAATACTGTTGCCACCATGCTTTCGAACTATCGACTCATCCGTTACATCTAAGGACTGATTGTGTAATTTCAAAAATATTGAGAGTATCAATGTGAAATCAATTTGTGCCTAAAATTAAATATCACCATTTGATTTAGTGCCGCGAGTTAGTCCTGTCGTGCTGTTTTTTGTAGTAATTAATCGTAGGACAATGTGCTGAAATCGAGGGTCTCAGGGAAGGCCGGATCACTTTCGATCAAAGTAAGCTAGGAGTGGGAACTCTGTGTAGATCGGAATAGAACACTATTTTGTATTGATTGGTCATATCATGAGTCTAAATCAAGAGAACAGTGGATTCCTCATAGCGCTTTTGAAAACCCTCATCTGACGGATCGATGAATGACCAACCAAATTGCGATTTTCTCAGAATATTCTCTCTTGAATGATGAAAATCATGCATCTACGCCATATTTCTATCGAGAGATATTCAGAAAAAATTAATGTACCCGATATATTTATCATCAACAGCAGTTTCATTATTTTTTTTGTCAAAGACTACCAGCACCCCCTTCTTTCTTGGCTGCGTATAATCAAGCAACATATTTTTATTGGCAAGCACTTTCTCAATAAACAGAGGAGAATACTTTTATCAATAAATAGCAAAGGCATCTATCTGTAGACGTCAGCAGCTTCACATAGTGGCGCTAATGTCAACTGGCTTCTATGAATCATTGATTTTGAATAAGAATAAAAAACAAATATACGAAGGAAAGATAGGTTACAGAACGCTAGGATGTGAAATTAGGATCTGACAGAAACTTTGTTTTTCCCTCTCATATTTTTGATAATAGGAGTAGTAAGTAGAGTGTAGAGGACAACCCCAACACTCTCAAAACCCTTATATTGCCAAGTAACTGGCAATACATGGTGTGCCAGACAACAGTACTGGACAGTCACCAAATAGCAATATCGAAAACTTCGCCAGTGTGTCAAACAAACGGTTCCCTTTTACATAATAGTTTTTCATAAAGTTTTATCAAAGATCTTTTGGGTCGAGCAATCGGAATTTGTATGAGTTCCTCGATCCAAAACACTCTATCAAAGTGAAAAAACAGTATTTTTAAAGAATAACATTTAGTTTGATAAATTCTCAGTATTTTCATTTCCCATTCCTCGATAAGTGATAATGAAACTGCTCTGTGATTGCATCTTCTCTACTCTATTTTATAATTGATACAGAAAGTTCATAATTCTCTTAATGAGTCACTGTAGCCATGGGAGACGAAGAAGAAATATATTTTTTCCAAAATAGAACTGATTTTTCCAACCTATTCTCTAAAATAATATTTTACATTGCAGGTCCAAGCAAACGTGACATACAAGAAGACAAGCCAGATTCAAACAGTTAACCTTCAAAAGTTTGTGAACTATTATGTTTGTCTATTGCTTTAGATTTATATTATAGCACTGCCGAAGCATGGCTGGCTATGACACAAAAAATAAAGTTGTTCTTCATCGAAAGTATATTTGTACCATTTGTTCACTCATATTGAAAGATCCAATTCAATTAACTTGCTGCGGTCTTCGAATATGTGAATCTTGTTTTCAGCATCAACATGGGTAAGTTTTATTATTTAATTAATGCAATATTCTTTATTATTATTTTCAGGATGAAAAGAAAATGTCTACAATGTTTAACAGAAACATTACCAAGTCTAGTAAGATATTCATTGTATTTCAGTAGTATATAAATGCTAACTGTTTCAGGTGATGACTGATCGAGGTTTCAAAAATGAGATGGAATCATTACCAATTGAATGTTGTTTTTGTATATGGAACGGTGTTCTACAAGATTATCAAGTAGAATATTCTGTATTTATCTTATTTTATCAGCATGTGAGTCTTTTCTCTAAAGGACCATCTCATTCAAAGTCATCGAAATCCGATATGCAAATATTGTAATAAAGAATATAATTCGGTGGAAGATCTTAATCAACATGAAGTATTAAGATGTGAAAATATATATGTGAACTGTGTGTTAAAAGAATTCGGTTGTCGAGAACAAGTATAATCATTAGCTATTTAATCATATTGACGCCTATATTTTGTTTAGATACATCGTTATGATATATTGAATCACTATTTAAGTGAAAAACATCAAAATATATTAATCAAGGTACTTTATCAAATGCAAGTTCAAATGGAAAACAAGAGAAAATCATCGACTGAAACGAACAGTGACCTTTCGCGGTCAATGTCAGTAGTAGCTGTTGATTTCAATACAGCTCTTTTTCAAGAGTTATGTGAAATACTTGATATTTCAACAGATGAATTAAATGCAATGGCCAGTGATCGACAAGAACAATTTAATAATGCATTATTTCAATGTCAAATGAAATATCCGACATTGACACTCAAATTTTTACAATTGAAAGTATCTATACAAGAAATCGATGAAAGTTTAAATGGGCCAACAGTCAATAATGATAATGTTCAAATGGATTTAACAAACTTGAACGAAACAATTGGAAATTCGCAATATATGCCATATGATGGAACACTTATATGGAAAATTACAAATGTTCAACAAAAAATAAGTAAATAGAATGATAACTTACAGTGAACCTTAGAGGTAGACTATCAATAAAGAGCAATGAGAACAGTATCATGTCATGTTATAAGAGATGGACAAATATATTCGAATAAAGCATTGATAAATTTTTGAAAACCATATGAGTAGCCGATCAGTAAAAGATGTGACGTATCAAAAGTGGTGGATATGAAATAACATGGCAGTCAAATGTGTTCTTTTGAATATTTTTTTTTGTCTTTAATGACTAGTTGATGCTCAGTCTGAACGACAAACATCAATTTATTCGCCACTATTTTATTCATCACCTGTTGGTTATAAAATGTGTGTTCGTTTGTATTTAAATGGTGATGGAAATGCTCGCCGTACACATATGTCACTCTTTTTTGTGCTTATACGAAGTCCGAACGATGCGATTCTCCAATATCCATTTAATTACAAGGTAACATTTTGTTTGTACGATCAAACTCCTGCACAACGGCATATTATCAATTCATTCCAACCAGACATTCGCTCAAGCAGTTTTCAACGACCTCGATCAGATATGAATATAGCCAGTGGCATTCCGAAATTTTTTCCATTGGAAATGATTCAACCGGAAGGAAATCCATATGTACGAGACGGCACAATGTTCATCAAAATTATGATCGATTTTGGAAATATACCCAACCCACTGTTACCATATGCCTTTAATCTCAATCCGGGTCTACCAACCCACATTCAACAAGTGATGATTAATCGAGAAGTTGAACGCAGATCTCAACAACATCATTAAGAATCAACTGCAAAAAGCGAATAAAACTAACTCGTAGAGAAACTTATTCAGAAAAAAGACCTTTCAAATTTTTCGCGTTTTCAGTTTTTCTTGTTTACGATTACTTATATTGCGTTTTAGTAACAGGATTGCGTGACTTTGTATTTTTAATTTAAGCAGCATTAGAAATATTCTTACAAAGAGTTAACCCAAAGTTTTTCGACAAAATGTTTCTTCATTTTTCGACCAATTATTCGGATTCAGCCGAAACTGTAAAGGTGTTGGATTGGAATACGAATTTATTTCTTGTTTGAATCTTATACTAAGAATTTTTTTGAAACTCATAGGTTAGAAATTATGAAGAATTTATAGTTGATTTAAAAATACTATGTGAACATATTGTAATGTAGGAAAGAGCACCTGTAGCAGACGCAAAATTTATTCTAAATGCGGTCACAAAAGAATCAGCATTTCTTTTGAAAGTGATAGCCTCATCGTTTATTTCGCATGCAGTTTCTTTTAGTAATGAAAGGTTTACGAAAGTAAGCTAAGACATTTTCTGGCCTTCTTCATTTTTAGTTTTTCAAAAGTACTCAATAATTTCGAAAACATTACCATGGCAGAAAATCAATTGAAACAGAATTGTGATCAAATCTTCTTTCTTGAGATCAGTTAGGAAATGTTTTTCTCGCTAGAATTTATTTTAACGCTTTTCAAAGTTTCGCCCATTACTCCTAATCTGTGAGTGCGACAAAAAATGAGAGCGCAGATTCGATAAGAGAATCTAAAACTGGTTCTAACTGAAAATTCTAAAATTTTGTGCTCAATCTCTTAGTCGGTCGAAAACAAAATAAAAACTTTTTGCCCAAAAACTTTTGATTCACTCCTAATCGATTAATCAGGATCTTCTTATTTATTGTTTACATTCTTGATGAATTTAATCACGCTTAAAATATATTTTATAGTTTCAGACACTCAAAAACTATACTCAGCGATATGCGATCTATAGAAACATTTTATAAGAGACTTTTTGGGTGCTGGTGTTGATCTTCTCCTCACTCCCATATCGTCCATGCAACAGAACTATATTATTAATTGTATATATGATTCGAAATCAGAACTGACCTTTTGTTCGATTTCAGTTAGATGGAACACGTATATCAAAACTTGTTTTACAAGTATGTGCTCAGATTACTCTGCAATATATTCAAAAACATGTTCCAAAATATTTTCGGTTGCGCTACGATATGAAATTCTTCAAAAAATGAAGACGTAAAATAAATAAATAATGTGTACTTTGTTGGTTTCCTATGGTAATTAGAAAATCGCGAAGAGAAAACGGCATTTTAAGTTAAAAAATAGCTGTAAAAGTTGACACTTTTGAATTGTGCTAATGAAAACATAATCAATAAAATTAAAATAAATCAATTCTTACACTCATTTTCGCATTTTAATGCATTGTGAAATCCAAGACAAATACTGATAATTATCGTAAGAGATACATGAATAAATAACAGCATTGTGTAAATACTTGTTTCTTTTATCACGTTCTCATAATGTAATAGATTCCAATTGCGTTATAATGTCGTCATTTTTACCAAGGAAGAAGTGACGTCAAAGACATCACTTTTATCAAGAATGAAATATGAGATTGCATATGCACTTTACAACTAGGATGTAGACTGGTGATAAATGATTCAATAATGCTCTTTCAATGTCTGTTGAGTCACTTGCAATCGCATATAAATCGCTACATGATGCATGCGAAAATTTGAACAATTTTTAATCGTGTAAATGTTCATCATCTAAGAATAAGATTTAAGTTCATATGAGAAAAGTAATTCCCTCTACTGAAAGGAGGGTCGTACGCCGAAAGGAGGTAAGGTCGTTCGTACGTTCGTGAGTTCGTTCGTTCGCACAGAACAAAAAAATGTTCTTTTGACCTTTTCTAGATTTC